CCTTTTACCTTTCTTCTTCTTCTTTTTTTTTTTTTTTTACAAAAGAAAAATGTCAAAAATACTGCTGAATATACTGCACATTGAACAAACTGATTTGGAAAACTTTAGTATATATGTAATTTACAGTATACTTACCATGAGTTAGAAAAATTTGACTTCCCACCATAGAGTCAGTATCAGAGCCCACTGCGTCTACATTCCCCAGCCTGACGATTTGGAATCCATGCTTGAACCAAAGCCTCCGTTAAACCCACTGCTGGAGCCCGCGTTCGAGGCCGAGCCCCAGCCTATTGCCGCTCCCGAGTTGGAACCTCCGTAAGAGTTATTTCCTGAACTAAACCCCTGGTTCTGCTCCCGCTGCATGTTGCCTTGAGGCTGGTTGTTTCCCGACGGCCCTGACTGGTTCTGCTGGCTGGCCAGCATGCCCATCATTCCCCAGCTGCTCTGCAGGGCTGCCTGTGCTGCTGCCATCATGGCAGGGTTGATGCTAAAGGCTCCGAAGTTCATTCCCCCACCCATGTTACTGCCCTGGTTGTTACCCAGCCCTCCCCCGCCTCCCCTGCTGTTGCCAAACCCCCCCTGATTCCCAAAGCCTCCCGGATTACCACCAAATCTTCCACCTCTCTCTAACTGTCTATTGCTATTGTGCTTAGGTTCAGCATTGGATATATGTACGCTGATTCCTTTAATGATCAAGTCCTCTCCACAAAGAGATTGGGCAACCTATAAGAAATAAGGGATTAATTAAATATAGGTTATTCTTTTTGATTTAAAAAATTATCAGCAGTATAAGACAAAAAAAGCCCACAAGATTCTGAGCAGATATTTAACCTGCAAAAGAAGTGTACGTATACTTAATCCAGTTTGAGGTGTTTTATCTTCACACTTGCTACTGCACTAAGTGCAGAGTACAATCAGTCTGTCCAAAAGCATCTGAGTAACCCTACATAATGCCGTAGATCGAGTCAAGCTAACGCCACTGGAATTAATGAGGCAGTGGACAAATGTTTCATGTGGCATTCCAGATATAAACACACTATCAAGCTGAAACACAGCTTGCCTGAATTTGAGGTTAAAATATTTTAACTTACCTGATCATCTGCAAATGTAACAAAAGCAAAAGCTCGGAAGGGTTTAGGAATGAAGACATCTACCACTTCTCCGTACTGAGCAAAGAACTGCCGGAGATCATCAGCTGTCATGTCATCAGTGCAGCGCCCAACGAACACTTTTCTGCTGCGCAAAGGTTCGTCAGGACTTTGCTGAAGAGAATTGAAAAGAGCAATTAACAAAACTCACAATTACTCGAGAATTGAGCAACTTTCCCATAAGGGTTCCTTTTAATCTAGCCTGTCCTACAGACTGACAATTAAGGAAGTTTGAAAGTTTAAGACTTAAGACGTTCTGTTCAGAGAGAGCACCTGGTACACTCCGCACCCTGGTATAGATCAACTGCTGCTACCTTTGTTTCCAGTTAAGGACAGTGACAAAACCAGTGCAGAGCACATCATTCTGCTGTATGTAACTGCATATACACACAGGAAATACACAAACAGAAGCTTTGGATTTGGTTCTCAATTCAACAAAAGGCTCATTCTGACCTTTCCTAAGTTGTACATTCTGCCTCCTTTATTCTCCATTTATTCACACAGCAGACAAGTTAAGCAGGTCCTGCTCGATGGTAAAACGTGTTCTTTTCAGGTTTCTATCTGTACTCAGTTCCCTGATGTAACTATTTCCCCAACACTGCTTTTCACTCCCTGTCCACCCACATCCTCGTCATTTTCTTTCCCTGCTCTCACCTGTCCTGTCTATTCACAGACTCAAAAGTCACATCCAAGAACGGATGGTTAATCTGTTCATCTGCTCACTTAACACAGTTGCTAAAAAAAAAAGTGTACTTGTGAATGTTTGGTAAAATAAAATTGGCAACATGGAAGTACCTTCGAATTGGGAAGCTTACAGTCACACCATCTTCCATCTATCATGTGTCGCTGAGACATTACTTTCACCTGGGTTTCATAATCCGTAAACCGAACAAAACCAAAACCTTTTGAGTGACCAGTTTTAATATCCTTCTTAACCTAAGATTAAAAAAAAAAAAAAAGCAGACTTTTAAAAAGAACACAGTAGCACTGCGTGCTTGTATTTGTGACATAACAGTCAAACTATTTATGAGTCATCTCCTCTATCACCCTTGATACTAAGATCACCGGGAAAGAGAACATACAAAGTTTTGATTACCCCCTTGCATGCAAAGAATCACAGAATGTTGGGGACCCTGAAAGAACATCTAGTCCAATCCCCCTACCTGTTCCTAGGAAACTAACTAAAATTCTGTAGTCACAGCAGAGGCCTGTGATGCCTACAAGTTTAAATTTATTCCAGTTGCTTTGAGCCCAAATATTAGCATACTAAACCAACATAACCCAGAACAGAATACAAATGTTTTGTAGCATTGCGATGGCATTGCCAAATGTTCTGTTTGAGCAGTGCAACCGCCAAAGGGGTAAACAGGCATGGCTGCACAAAAGGCTTTTTTGTTACATGGCTGTAACAAAAGGTACAGAACATAAAGAACAAACGGAATGTCTCGGGGTCAGGTGAGATCCCCCCTTTTGTGAGGATAAAAATATCCCGCATGAAGAGAGAAGACAAGAAAACTGCAGCAAGCTTGTCTCATGCTAACAAAGTAGTGCTAACACAGGAGTAGCCACCTGCTTGGAACGTGCTGTTCCTGAATGAGTTTATTAAAAAGTTCTGTTTGAAGGTTTATCAGGCTTGTAAACGCTCCCATCACAACAATCTCCAGTTCCTTAACAGATACATATAAACACACACATATTTAGCTGCAACAATTAATAACTAATATAAATTAAAGAGCTCTTAACAAACCCTGTACCCATTAAGTCCACCTGCATGAATTACCACTTCCAAAGACTCTTGTCTCTGTAACTATGCAAGCCTGCAGCTACAAAGCTCATGGAACAAAACACCGCCTAGGAACAGACACGCTGCTTCAGATCTGCTCTGAAATTACATGACTCCATTTCTTTCCACTGGCTTCATCTGAGGACTCCTTTCTGAATAACATCCCTCCTTACGTGAACTGCAAAAGGATTTTACCTGCACCATAAGAACTTCTCCAAACGTACTGAAGTATTCCTTTAAGTCTTGCTCAGTGGTTTTCCAGGGTAAACCTAGGACTATCAAATCTGAAGTCTTCTGTACTGCTCGTTTTACTTTCACGGCTGACGATGCATCTGTTTCATCCATTTTTCTCTTATTATCTGAATATAAAGATGTACATTAGAAATCATCCTCTGAAGTCTGGAAATTGCTTCCACTAATTATGAACAGCATGGTACGAAACCATAGACTACAATGAGAAGAGCAGGCTAGATAAACAAGTGCTTGCTGCTGGTGCTTATTATGATGATCCATAGCCCACTGTCTGCAAGTATTAGGAGAGAAAAAAAAAGAACAGTCTACATTTAATTTCTCCTCAAAAATGTAACCTGAGTTTGTGTTATTTTACTAAAGTACGATCCAGTAACACTCAGTCCTACAAGGACACACACAAGTCAAGTGTTTGAAACAAGAACTTTAAAATAAATTTTTGGAGGGAATATATGTGCGTGTGTCAGGCTGCTCTTCTGAGTGTGTTTCAAAAAGTACCTCTGATCAAGTCACAGTTTGAAGAGAGGCACCTGTGAGTACACAGCAGTTTTCAGAAAGTCTGTGTTAGACTGCAAAATCTTTCAAAGATAATGCAAAACTTTGTTACGATAGTGCCTCTCCAGCTAGAGAATTAAAAAGACTACTACACATCTGAAAACTCAGTGGAGTCAACTTTACTCTGCAGGACGGACACGTGATTAAAGCCACGGCACTTCTGTAAATCAGGTTTCAAAGCAGCCGCTGCCATGTTACATTAGCAGCAGCGCACGTGGACCTCTTCACTACAACCGTACGCTCGTCCCAAAGCCTGAAGGAGCACTGACAAACCTTTGGGGTAATTAACGACATAGACCAGGTTCCCCCAGCCCGCCTCCGGGGCGTGCAGAATCCCCTCGACCAGCCGGACGCCCCTCATGCACTGCGACACCGGGTTCCTGTAGCGCAGCCCGCAGGCCCCGGGGAACTGAGCCGTGACGGTGGACAGCAGCACGGTGCCAGTCGTCCTCCGAGGGGATCTCGATGGGCTCGTCGTTCTCATCCTCCGTCACCCGGATATACTCCGACATCTTCGCGGGGACTCACTGCGGCGTGCAAGGGGGGGGGAGAAGAGCCATAAGCGACCACCCCCAGCGTCCCGTGGCGCTCCCCGTTCTGCCCTCACGGTGCCTCCCCCCCGTGTTTCCCACAGGACGCCCCCGGCCCCCGCTCTCCGCCTCGGCCCCGCCGTGCCCAGGCCCCACGGGGCCCGGCGAAACTTCCCCAAGGCCCGGGGCCGGGCCCAGCCGCCGGGGGCGGGCTGAAGGGAGCCCCCGAGCCCTTCAGCGCCCCGCCTGCCGGCCAGCCTCGAAGCGAGGGACCCCCGAGCGCTCGCTGCCGCTCACCGGGCACGAAGGGAGCGGCGTCTCCGGGAGCCCTGTGCCGCGCAGCGCCCCGCCGCCCTCCGCTGCCGCCGCACAAAATGGCGGCCGCGGCCCCCCTCAGAGGCCGGGCCGGGCCGCGGGGCGAACCACCCGCAGCACCGGGGGGGGGATGAAGAGAAGGAGAGAAACAGCGCGGCGGGGGCACGCCTGGCTGCGGGGAGCGCTACGGGACCGGAGCTGCGGCTCCGCTCGGCTCCATACGAAACGGCAGCCCACGAAGCCGGGGCGGCGGCAGCAAAGGGAGAAGGGGCGGCTGCCGGTACTGCTGCCCCCCCCGCAAGGCACCGGTGGTACGGCCCGGGCCGCGCGTGCGTCGCGCGCGGGGCTACGGGAAGGGGCGGCGGCCGCCTCACAGCCCCCTCACAGCCCCCATGGCGGCCGGGCCACCCCCCTGAGGCGCCCCCCTGCCCGCCCTGTGAGGAGCTGCGTTAGCCAGGCCGGCCGGCGGCATGCTCGGTTCTGTGCTCAGAATTCGTTAATCCCCTCAGGTGATTTGTTCTCGCCTCCCTCCCCCGGACGGGGGAAGCGGTGGGGTCAGAGCGGCGTCCTGCTGTGGCCTGAGGTAAAATAGTTTTTAGGAGCGGTGGAAGTTTGTAAAGAAAGGTGTAGGAGTTTTAACGCTGTCCTTTAATACTTAAGGTTTGCCATAACGCAACTTAATGCCTAGACAGAATCTCCTCGCTTAATGGAGAGGCTCAGCAGTTAAACCTCAATATACAAGCTATCAAATTTAGGAATTCCAATGGCCAGGGCACACTCGTGCCACTTTTCTGACACTTATAAAAGCCGTGCAGAAGAGCCAGCTGCGAGTTTTCCCAAGCTGCGGTCACAGCTGCCAGCTAGGCTGCAGGGCTGACCCTGACCTGCTCCTTCAGCCTGTACAAGTGGTGCAGAACAGCCACCTGAGAGAGAAAGGTGCCAGGAACATGGGGATTGCCACCTGGCCTGGTTCCTTTTCTAAGACTGATCTGCTTTTGGTACCGTAATCCTCAAGATAAACTCCACAGTTGTGTACTTCACAGTGATAACACTGTAAAGCTATAAATCCGTAGCTATTCTACAGTTCTAAATACTTTATGTCTGGATAATTGCCATTTCACATCTCCAAGTTATTTTATTCTGATACTTCACTGAATAAGCATATCTGGGCCATTAATCAGTCACATTAGTTGCAAGTTACAGCAGAGACATCTGTAACACAACCCATTTCTGCTTCAAGATACGAATGGGAAGCCACCCAGGGTGGTTGGTGGCAGGATTGTGAAGTCCTGCCTGCCATCACCATCGGGTGAGAGAAGAGTGTACTGCAGGGCTTACTCCAACCAGCTCAGCTCTGGGACCTAACCAGTGGGCTACACCATGCCACCTTTATGAAAATAATTCCACCACCACCTTACACCTCCTGGCTTCCCACCTGGTCCCTTGTGCCACTCCTCCAGTCCACATGTGGGGTATGTGACCTTCCTTGCATTGCTCCTGAAAAATAGAAATAAGAAATCTTATTAGTAAAGATAGAGACCCTACTGCTGAGAAAGGCTAATCCAGTCCCTTGAATCAATCTATACAGAACTCCTGAGTATTTAAGATTCCCACTGAAGATTTGGAAAAGTAGGCTGCAGCACCACTGAAACCTAGCTCATCTATGCCCTCGTTACCTTAGTCTCAGCCTTATTTAATTACCCTTTCCCACTAGAGTTCTAAGAGGACCCGACAATACACAGGCTAACAAGATAAGCTTGTGCTCCACCTAAGCAGGAGAAATTCCTACATTTTCTAGCTATCCACAATACACATCCCAAACCCAGTTCTGGCGCTGCCAAGTCAGCACTGGAGGCAGCCAGCGTTGTTTGAACACGTTGTGAGGACTGAGTGTAATTGCAGCATGTCAACATTACCTACTGCACTATTTCAAGTCAAAGCTATAGTTTAGCAATCATGCTATTTGAAGAGGTTGTCATGGCATTCAGCCAAAGTGACCTCTATCTAACAAATCATCTGGTGGTAATTTCATTAATGAGCAGAATAAGCATCAACTCTGAACTAGATTCTGTGCAGGCAGGAGCCTGGAGAGAGCAATGAGCTCGATGTAGCTTGCTGCCTGTAAAACAGGCAGGGGAAGGAGGGTAATTACTCACAGAGACTGTTGCCTCTGGAGTTTGTTCCTCAGTTTTTGCTACAAACAAGCTTAAAATTAAACAAATGTGACTATCCATTTACTGTAAAAACTGGGATTCTTACAGTGCTTTCCTTCTGTTGCTTAGCTTTATGATTAGATTTAAGTTAAGCAATTAGCAGTAGTATTGCTCTTGAAGTAACTACACCAGTGGGCACGCAGCTAGTTAATTCACCAGTTCTCTCACACTGGCAATTCACAGTGCCCATGGGTGCAGACAAATGCAATACCGTGGTACTCGCCATCATGTATATTGAGTTAAGTGTGCCCACAGGCACAAAACAAAATGCAATACAATAACTATTTGCTGCTCTAGGTTAAGCGTGCTCATGGGTACAAGCAAACTGAGTGTAATGATCAGCTGTTCACTCTCCCCAAAGCACTCGGGGTGGAACATCAATGGGCATCTAAATATAACCTCATGATAAAAGGAAGAGACAAACCAACAAAACGGGTACTGATAAACAGGGAGTGCTCGGGCCTATTTCTAATTTTAGTTAGATCAGTAAAAAAAGATTTAAATAATGATGGCTTATCAGTGCAGTCAGAACCTAGCCTGGTTTTGCCAATAGTTTATAAGCTGCATCTCTCACCCTTACTCAGTGGGAATCTCTTCTTCACATCAAGTGTCTCCTGCTTTGCTCTGTGTGGAAGGATGATGATCACATTTACGCCTCTCCGGGCACAAAACAAGCATTCTCTGCAGAAAAGTCTGAGCAACTTAGAAACATTGCATTCTCTGTGATGGTTCTCATTCTACATACGTTTAGTGAGAAAAAAAAGAGAGCTACATTGTCACTATCCCAAGGACGTGCCCGTAAGCAGCCTGCATCCTTTAATCAGCCTTCCCCTGCTCCTTCATAAGCAGTGTCCTCTCTGCCACGTGCACCAAGTGAAGCCCACCCTGGATGTAGTAACCAAAAGGAGCAGGTCACCCTTCGGTTACGTATTTCTTTTTGTCATTTAAAGCCATTTGAGCCTCCAGTTGAACAGGCTGTATATCACAGATACCATTCCCCTGAAGGAACGGGATCAGTAGTATTTCATTTTCCTAGCTACAGTTGAAAATCCGTTCACACACATGCAAAAGAGAGAGCAGTGTTTTACAATACTGATCTTCCTCTCTTCCTCTTGGAAAAAGCTGTCACCACAAGGACATTTGCAATAATTACTTCCTCCCTTCCCCAGAAATGCCTACCATAAGTAGAACTTTCCACACACAAGCAAAGGAGAATGAAATAAGCATATGGAATAAAAGCAATCAAGAACCTTAACTGTGAGCTCCCCAGTACGGATTATCCATCTCACCAGACCTTTTCTTTTTTTTTTTTTGTCTCTCCAAGCAGAGAACACACAGAGCCATACCTTACAGAGCCATAAGCACACCAGTCCCAGCCCCTGCTACCAGGCTGCTGATGTTTTGCCTCCTCTCCAGCTCCCAGGCAGGCAGGAACAATCCCACCATCACAAACCCACTGTGGTGGTGTTAAATCACTCCCTGTCCCTGAGGGGTTGTTAAAACATGAAAGTGCTCGTTAGTCTTCACTTTTTTTTTTTTTTTCTTTAAGCCTTAAATGCTGAACCCAATCTCACATCAGCTTTGCAGTAGTTTTACAAAGGAGATCACAAACATTATTCAACTCAGTTCATTTGCAAGTTATCAATGTAAAAATTTACTAATACCTAGCTGCCTAAAACAACTACTTACAGAAAGGCTTCTGTTAAACAAAACAAGCAGCTTCCGCCCATGTAAAGTACCTGGAAAGATCACTTAGTCCATTGTTCTCACAGCAATGCTCCTCCTAATCCCTTTAGTTAAAGCAGCTTCTGAGACTTCATTACAGTGCCTGACACATTTCAGGCAATTTTTCCCATGATCCTAAAAAGCCATGATTTCAATTACCTCAATTTTAATGGTTTAGTCCTGTTCCTTAAAGGGGCAGGGTTTCCTTCTTCCTTATTTTATGTCCTTATTTACTTAACTCTTCCAAAACTGATTAAAACTGTTTTTGTTTTTGTTTTTTGTTTTTTGTTTTTGTTTTTTTTTTTTTTCAGCTCACAGCAAATGCAGTTGAACTCAGATTTTTATTTTATTTTATATATATAGTATTTTTTAATATATGCTCAACTCTTATAGAGACCTAGAAGGACTCAGTGCCCATCAGCCTGGATCCTTCCAGCACTAGTAGTAGTTTTGAAAGAAAAAAAAAAAAAAAAGAAAAGAAAAGAACCAAACCAAACAAACAAAACAACTTTGTCCATATTTCCCTAACTGAATCCCTACACAGAGTCACTGCTGCGTCTTGTTTTACCACCAAACTTTGAGTATTAGTGGAGGAAGAAACAATTCAAATAGGCAGTGAAGGTATCTGAGAGAGAGGCTGACTAGATGGATGTAGTTGTGTCTTGGAAGCAGCTGGGGTCAGCCACCCAGGTGTGGTGGCGCCCCATGGCATACAGAGGGGTGCACCTGGCTGGGAGCTCTGTGAGGGAGGAAAATCACTGTGTGGTAGTTGGGACCTAGCACTGGTGACAAAAGACCCTCTGAGCTCCAGGGGTACTGGTGGCAAGTGGGTGCTGACGGCTGCCTTTGCTCCGGAGCTGCAAATAGCTTCAGAAAGCAGGTGGAAGCCATGGAAGCAGGAGTGGTGCCTCTGTTGGCTGTGCACAAATGGCCTTGTTGCAGCGAGCAAGCAGCAGTGCTGGAGCTTTTTCTTACGGCTCCTGCTGACACGGTTACTAATTCTTGCCTATTAAGGCAAAAGTAACCCACGGTAACGCCAGAGCAGTGCTCTCAGGAAATGCTTTCCCTGATTTTGTGCTCTAGGCTCCCAGAAAAATGCCAGCTAATATACAGGCAGAGCAAGGCTAGCATAAAATATCACCCACTTGTTTTAGCTCGCAGAATTAGGAGCAGACACGGCATACTTGGAGGATTTAAGTTAGTGGAGTTTGTCATTGTGATTATATACAGGAATCTTGCCTTTAGAAGCTGAAAATCAAGGTTCAAAGCACAGCACCGGGTAGTATCTGACATCTTCACCATCTTGTTTGATTGGTACCTGTGGGAACTGCCAAATGTTTGCATCTTGTACACAGAGAATGCAAAAATTAACTTCATTCTGTTTTGTTTGGCAGAGTCACATCACACCATCTGCAAGTCACCTCCCTAGTCTTTCTGGACCATCCACAGCAGAGCCTGGGAAGATTTTCCACCTGTGATTCTCAGAGGAAGCTAGTCAGTTCCCAGAGCTATGTTCCTGGTGAAGATGTGGCAGGTATCTTCCAAAGGATTTTGTTGTCTTTTACAGTATACTGGAGATGGGATTCAAAGACTTTTTTTTTTTTTTTTTCTTGTCCCCCTCTAGATTTTCTAGTAACTCCCAGCACAGGAGTGTGAACTTCCATCAAAACATATTATCATAAACCAAAGCACTAAATCCACAGATGGGGAACTGTGAGAGCTAGCTTCAGGTCCTTAAAATTGCAGTTGTTGGTGTATGACAGAGACCCTAAATATTGAATACAAACATTAGCATTTACACTGGAAGTTAGAAATAGAATCCTCCAAAGGCAAAGCCATAAGTGACTTGGGGAAGCTGTAGCAACTATTCCTGTAAGATCTGGAATAGTGTGAAGGACAACTTTGGAAGAGTTTATTTAAAAGCTATTTTGTAGCATTTTCCTTTTTTTTTTTCTTTTATCTTAAGGGGTGGGCAGAAAGGCAGGGGTATTTTTTCTTGCTGTTTCTGAACCATGCACACTGAAGCAAGAGCTCAAGTGTAAGACAAAGACTGTTTTTAAAATGGTTTGGTTGTACTGCCTGCTTGGTGATATTTTTTGAAGTACATTTGCTGAAGATTTATGTAAAATCTATCTTTTGTCTACTTAAAATACGTCAAATGGATGTACAGGGCAAAATTTAATGCATATGGGTTTTCATTATTTTAAATCATTTGCAATATAAGTGATTTACTGTGACATCAAACATTTGTTCTTTGGCTGTCCACCATAAATTGAGGTCCACCCAAATTTCCACTCCTAGCTATATTTCTGCATTCCCTCCCCCAGTATCTATAACCTCAGTTCCGTGATTCTTCATGTAAATGACTTTCAACAAGGAGAGGAGGAGAACACATAATTTGCCTTAATACAGGTAATTTTGAAAGAAGAGCGAGACCTTTACATGAGAAATAGTTGACAGCTATGGAAAGGGGAGAACTAATGCATGTAGAAGACAAAGTCATTCCTGATGAGAGTGGTGAGAGCTACTGATCAACCAGATGTGACCAAATGGACTTTTTGTGCAGTTGAAACTGCCAGGGGTGATAGACTTCTATCTTTCGCTTTCTGAGTTTTTTCATGTCTTTTTAGCATCGTTACATTTATAATACAATTAATCCAACCCCAACCAGTTAATCTGAGGTAAGCCAGTTTGCCCAAGGTCATTCTGAAAGTCCATAGTGCAAAACTGGTGACATGTGACACCCAGAACTGTGCTCTCATGACAAACCTTCTCCTAACAGCTGTAAAAGCCTTGAGACACTCAGACTTGTTGAAAGACCTTGTGGGAAACCACATTCATTATAGCTTTTACTGGTTGTGTCATGTCAGTTAATAGGACACAGACCTTTGGACCCGTCGGTAGCCTGTATTTGAAGCCTTCCCAGTTCAGTAGTTACTGAAAATTGGTGCTACATGGTAGCTCTTCAGCAGCCTACGCTACAGGGATTAACCACCTGAACTCAGCCCAGTTTCTCATCCACGGATGTCTTCTCAAAACCTACTAAGTTAGCAGACTGTGTTGAGATCCTAATTTCTATCCACTCAATTGAAAGACAGTTCAGTTCGAACCAAACATATTCTTGCAGGCTTCCCCCACCTATACCACATATCTAAGCTTTGCCATGACTCCTTCTCGCTGCCAAAGGATTTCACTATTATTGCCTACTCATGCCTTATTAAAAAGGCATCCCAAATTTGAACTATCTAAAGATTTGTAGCAATTCTGAATGATATTATAAACTTCAGCAACATCCTGAAGGCAATCTCGCTTCTGACATCCAGACTATCTGCCCAATCCTACAGCTACAACTGTCTGACAATCACCATTTACATATTTGATGTCTTTCCCACAATGCTAGTCCTAAACAGCCCTGCCAATGATCTTAATCCTGAAGTCAGAGCAGGTTTAGATGCTGTGGTGGGCCTGCATGCGCTCATCTTCATTCTAGCCTCCAGTGGCTCTACTCCTGCAAGATCCAATTCAGAAAAATGTTAGCACAGCTCTGATTTATGTGCAAAAGTGCAAAGGAGAGCAGAAGCTTTTAGTATCTTGGGAAGTGGTTAGGAATTAAGGCCAAAGAAAGGACAGTCATGTCCATTATATCCTTTAAAAAAAAAAAAAAAAAAAAAAATTAGACCGAAAGTCCTGGCTGCTGAACCGTGCCTGGGCTGGCAGATGTTCACAGCTCTCTTGGCAGATACTGTAGAAAGCTAATGGGCCCATTTAGATCCCCTCCCTTACACAGTGGCATTGAGATGGTTTTGCAGTTGCGAGGTAGGCCTGGCAGGGCTGTAATAACAATTTCAGCATTTTTCCTGAAATGAAGTTAGGGAATACATTTAATATTTTAACAGCTCCGCTGATCTCAACAGGAATCTCCACTGAACCTAGCACATCATTCCAGATGTGGCTGAGGGAAGGGAATCTCATGTGAAGTGCAAGGCTGACACCTGGAGGGGACTGCTGAGCTGCAGCTACGCGAACCTGGAGGAGTCAGGCAGGGGATTCTGCAACACACAGCTTGGGTTAGGAAAGCTCAGAGGAGATGGCAATATCCTAGGTTTTGGAACTGCTCTTTTGTAGTGAAGGTGTACTTTAGATATTCTTCCCTCTCCCCTTTTCTAACAAAGAAAAATCCAGATTTCTATTTCAGATTTTCCATGTATATTTTTAGGAGGGGAGAAGAACAAAGAAGCAGACTCTGGATCACCCAGTTCTTCACTTCTTCCATGTTCAGGAATACTTAGATCAGAAGTTATCTGTCCCAGTAAGCTGCTACAAACAATGCAGGGTTAGTTTTTCAGTCGTTTATCATGAAGTCTTTGAATCACTACATGTCAGACTTTCTGCTGCTTCTTCACTATTTGTGTAACCGTGCTGTGAGTTTCTGGAGTACAAACTTGCAGGGCAATTCCTGCTGTCACAGCTGCAGCTGGCAGGATTGTGTTAGGTGCAGCATGGTCTTTTCATGTCTGGCTCTGTCAGCATGCACGGTGAGGCTTTTCTTGAAGCTGACCTAATCAAGGAAACACAAGACAGCTTCTGGGACGAAGTCTTCGTGCCTTTGGAGTTTTGCTTCCCAGCCTGGCAGTCACCCATTCACAGCACTTACTCAAACCTTCTCAGTAATCTTTCTTCTCTGCCAGGAATCATCTCAGTATTTGTGAAAGCTGTTTTTTCTCGATCTAATTTTAGAATATGTTAATAACTGAGTTATTTACTGAGCTGGCATTACCATACACTTAGTATCTCAGGAACCCAAAGATTATATGTCCATTACATCTTCTTAATTCTATTTGTCATTGCCAGTGTGGTTCCACTCACCATTACATTTGCTTAGCAATAAATAGTTGTTTATAGAAATGGCCAAAAAATTACATTTATTTTCAGAATTCTACTAATTCACCTGGAGCATGCCTTCCTCAGCCTCCATATGTCTTCACTGGTATACCTCAATCCTAACTGACTACATATCTTTCTCTTCTAGCCATCAGACCCATAAAATATCACCAATATTAAGTTCACCCTGATGAGCATACTAAACTACTCCACGTACATTCCCCACACAGACCAGCTTCATCAGTGAGCTTGCTTCATCAGAATACTTGCTTGCTCCAGGCAATGGGGAGTAGAAGAGAGGCAAACTGCCAACTTCAGCAGTAAGTCAAGACATTCAGTGTGCTGGGGGTGCTTCTTTTCAGCCCAGAAACCTGAAAAGTATAACACCATCCCTACGGCTCCTGTTTCTCCAGCATTTATTAACAGTGACATGATTCTAAAGAGGCAATAACATCTTTCCTCCTCCTCCACCCCAACAATATTGCCGACGCTGAATTGTCAGTTATGCTGAATTATACTGGATCACATGTGGTTATTCAGCAATGTAGACAAATACCAATTCAAGATCAAGGGTGAACTGTGGCCACTAAACTTGTTTCACTTGTGACTCATTCCAGACTTAAAACCTGGCTCTCGCTGACATTTTATTAACCCAATTTGTCATCCTCCTAACCCCCATTATCCAACCCAGGCAGATTATTTACTTTGAAAAGATGTGTAGATAGAATCCACACAAATCTTAAATAGATCCAGGTGCCATAGCTAAATTCCAGAGGGAGCTATGGTCATAAGATATATGTGCTAGTCGAGTAACTTATATCCTAGATACTTTCAAACTCAGTGACATTCTCACTGTTTAGATATTGTCTGGACTGTCACTCTTACAAAGCAGAGAGCAGCCTGGCACATTCTTCAGGTCTGTGCGTGGTCCTAAAATGATTAGGAAAGGTAAATTTAAGCATATATTTAAAGACATGCTAAATATATTCCTGTTTTGGACTCTGAATCAGTGAATAGCCCCTCCTCAGCCACTCCCTTTGAATCTTTGTAATTGTCCCAAAATAAAGCATTCAAGTCAAGAAACAGCTTGCTAGCTTCTAGAGAATTCATCATTTCCAGTTTGCAAGCTTGAGGAGAGAAATCCAGGAAGCATCAATAAATCCACTCTGACAGCAGAGTAAAGCACTGCAAAAGGAGTAACATGTCAGTGATGTGACTTAATTTCCCAGAGAAAGATCTTCTTTATAGGTGAAATAAAAGTGCCAGCAAAGTCAAACAGCAGGAATTGTCACACTTGATTGACTCTCAGGACAAAAAATAAAAAGGCAAGGTAAATTATGTGTTTTTACATATAGCAGGTAATAACATACACTGAGAACCTCTGCACAGCAGTATGATAAAGGCATGTGTTCCCACATCAGCATTCATTTAATCAGCATGTTTTAAACAAAATGAAGGTTACGTGCCAAGGAGCTTTACGATTTGGTGGGATTCACAGATTGGACATGAGGGGGCAGTCTTATCTGCAGTTTATTGATGGCAAAACTCTGCTGTGCAATATCGAGGCAGGGTCATTATGGGCAGTTTGCTTTGGAGTCCCAGGTTGCACTGTCAAGATCTGGAGCTTTGCCTCTTTCCAAACAAGGGTCTCATCCAGGCTTTTCAGATGTCTTTATTCAAAGCTGAATATGGTTCCTTTAAATAAGCAGAGATCTCAGTCCGAATGGGGAATGAAGCCCAGGCTACCAACAGTTATGAAACCTCTCTTTTTGAGCTTACAGGCTTAGGGGCCGCTGCTACACTCTGAGGTTAATAATCAGTTTTAATATTCACTTAGGGGGCTGTAAAAAAAGAATGAAAATTTCCTAATTTGAAAATGGACTTGATTGGCAGCTTTATTATCTCTGTAAGGTGCGTGGCATTCCACACAATCAAGTCGTTTTTTAAAATAATCTCACTGCTTAAGTCGTACACGCTGCTAATTGCATTTTAATAAGTCTCTTTAAAATCTTTCCATATTTTTTAATATCCTAATATTAGATAAGTGATTGCTGGGGACACTGGAGGGCACTGAAGTTTATAGAAAGAGGAACACCATAATGAAGCTTTATTGGGATGGCATCACCAAACAATTGCTGTGATAGCAACACTCCCAAGCCTGGAAAAGTGCCAAACATTCCCCCTGGAACTGACTCAGACACTAGCCTCTCTGGCTCAGGACTGACGCAGAAAATGGATGCTTTCTGGTTCATAAAATGGCCTCTTTCCGGCTTGGAAATGACTGAGGAACTGTCCACTTTTGATTTGGAAAGAACTTGGGAGCTGGTGTTTCTCCATAGAACAAACAACTTTGAAACTCACTGCTTCTGCTTTGAATTATGGCTTGAAACTAACTATAAGATTTTTTATTTTTTAATTTGACTAGGATGAAACAAAAGGTTTTTTTTTTTTCTTCCTTTAAAAAACAAACAAACAAACAAACAAACAAAAAAAACATAGCTCCATCCAATAGCAGAGGTTGTGAAAAGCTTCAATGGGAATTAGAAAACCACTTCTTTCAAGTGGAAAGATAACCTTCCATCTCAAAGATCAAACCCAGTTAAGATGGAGACTATTTGGAAAAAAAATACTACAGCATGGCGTCATTGGGTTTCTATACCTTATGCAGGGAAGATGGAAGAGCATTCAAGAATACCAGTAGTGATACAGACTTGATCACTCTAAACTTAAAGAAAAAACTCTATAAAGACAGTTGGACTGAACTGACAAATTCTAGATTCAAACACTCCAAACTACAGAGAATTTCAAACTCCCATTCAAACTGGACCCTGCATGCGCATCCACAGGGTCAGCTATTGCATCAGTTACAAGCCAGTGGTGCAAGAAGGTGCCCCACAACATCTCATATGAAGTGTCCAACACTTTTCTGTCTGAATTCTGCCTTTAGATTCAGTGCTGTGTTCCCTATCTATGCCAACTGTGTTTCTCCCAATTACGACTGGCGGACAATTGATGTCATTTTCAGTGTCATTTAGTAGCATCATCTATGTAGAAAAAGAGGGGAAAAAGTAATCCCAAATTAACACAGCCAGAAGCCAAATTAACATAACGTAGAAGACAGCATAACTGGCTTCTGTGAAACTTCACCAAGATAAAGGGACATTTTTTTGCCAAAACAAAATGGAAATGCCAAGTTTTACATTATACTGTATTTTGTCCTCTGCAATTCCAGTTTATTGGGGCCTTGGATTAGAAAATTCTTTTGAGAACAAGTGACTAATACATTGCCTGTTCCTATATATTTTATCCTTAATCTCATCCTCTGAAATCATACTATAATAAATCACAATGTCAATTTTGTTTTAAGAAATATAGAGCTTCCAGTAGTTTCCTAGTGGCAAAGAAAATGTTCTATCTTCTTAAAGATTCAAAACCTAGGAAACATAAACAGAGAGTGCTTAATTGACTTTTTTCTTTTAAGTCTCAATATTCAGGTTGTTTTGCAGAACCCAGCTATATGAGTTTTAATACTTGAAATGGGCAATACTGATATAAATATCTTGCATTAGTTTGTTTGAAAGTGAGCCATTTTCTTACTAACTGAAGATCTGTTTGTCTATCCACATATTTCTTCTGTACATCATCAGACACTCCTTGGACTCAGTCCACAGCATCTTTAGGTCTGATCTTATTCCCACTGAAATCCAAAGGAGTTCTGCCACTAACTCCCAGTTAAAAGTGGGATCAAGACCTGGCCACTGTAAAGGATGAGTAGGAACAGGTTGTATATTAA